GAATTTATCTTTCAATTGTGCTTCTTTTAGCATATTTATTTATTTATTTATTATTTATTTTTTTTGTCTTTTTTCCGTGTCCGGCAATGGATCGCAACCCTCAGTGTCGCCCCCGTACCGGACCGGGGACTGGCAACGGGACTGCAAGCCTCGGTGTTGCTCCCGCGCCTCGCTCAGCCAGCGAGCGGGAACCGGTCTGTATGTGGGATCCAAACCCTCGGGCGGGAGCGCCGCCGTGCTTCCCAACGGCACACTACCCAGTGCGCAACCGGGCCGGCCCTAGTATATTTATTAAAAATTAAAATTATTTTTATACAAGAAAAGTCTTTTTCCAAAACTTGTCAAGACACATTTATCAATCCAGTAGGACTAATTTAATTTTAGAAAGAATTATTTTCCCCAATTAATATTGGTTAATGAGGTTTTCTTCTTTTTCTACAGAAGAAGTAAAGCTAAGAAACACATTGGAAAAAAATGGAAGAAATGCTTGGGTTGCATCTTTAGGCTTTCTTTTCTCAAATGGAATACTAGAAGTTCAAATGTAAACTATCCCACTCTGAGTGGGGCACAGAGAAGACCACAGTCTGTCATTGATGATGAACTTATCATCTCTCGCTGCTTTTCTCTTACTGAGTGAATAAGCAGACAGCAGGGAGATTCAGCTCAGATATGACTGCAAAGCTCTTCTCCTTCCAGAAGCCTGATGAAGACAGACAAGTGGCCTTAATCTCCTTGAAAGAAAAGGGGGACTGTGAACTCCTCCCCAGGCTCTGTTCCTGGTGATGCTGGCTCCTCTGGATTCACAATTGGGCTTCAAGTGTGTTGAATGAGACACACCAGCAGCCCGATGCCTCTCTTCGCTGATCTGATGTAGGACTTAGTTTCCTAAATTGCACATACAGGATATGAGCTATCCCAATCCAGACTCAGTGAAGCAAAGCCACTGAAAAGGAGGAACTGCTTCAGGCCTTGCAAGACATTCTGGCACCAGGAACGCCCTACAGATGACACAGGCCTGTGTCTTCCTGCACGTTATCCTGTGTCACTCCCCAAAAGAGTCATCATTAGAGTTTGAAGCTCCAGGCTTTAGGTATTCTGTCCAAATGTGGGGGAAGATGGAGAGAAAGGTCCTCGGAAAAGGGAAAATAATGAATCCACAGCGGCCTAAGTATGGCTCATAGTAAAATTGGCTGAAGTTGGAGCCCTGGGGGGCTGGGCTGTGGGGCAGATTGTGAGAAGTGTTAGATCCTCAGGGGACGATCCCAGATGAGCGACCTCAGAGGTGCATACAGGATGTGATGGGCAACCACAGCCATGCAGAAAAACAAACATGCTCCTTCTTCCTGCTCATGCAAATACACGTTTCCAATGTCTCTTCCTTTCTCTGTCCTTACTTTTCTCTTTCTCTTTAATGCTTGTTCTTTGGGACGGTTCTCTTGGTCTCAACTGTGCTATTTTTTTTTTTTAATTTTCAACTGAAATTGTATATATTTAAGGTGTACAACATGATATTTTGATTTACATATACATAGTGAATTGATTACTACAGCCAAGCTAATTAACATATCCATCTCTTCACATAGTTGCCTTTGCGTGTGTGTCTGTGTGTGGTGAGAACACCTAAGATCTGTTCTTTTAGCAAATTTTAAATATGCAATGTTACTAACTGTAGCTTCCATACTGTTTATTACACCCCTAAAACTTATTCATACTACATAACTGAAACATTGTACGCTTTGACAAACGTCTCCCAATTTTCCCCACCCACCCTGCCCCCTGGTAACCACCACTCTACCCTCTGTTTCTATGAGTGTGACTTTTCTAGATTCCACGTATAAATGAGACCATGCAGCATTCACCTTTCTGTGCCTCGCTTCTTTCACTCAGAATGATGTCCTCTGGGTTAATCCACATTATCATAAATGGCAGGATTTCCTTCTTTTTAAAGGCTGAATAAAAATAACACAATTTCTTTTTCTATTCATTCATTAACTGATGTTTAGATTGATTCCATACCTTGCCTGTTGTGAATAATGCTACAGTGACCATGACAGTGCTGATATCTCCTTGAGATTCTGATTTCCTCTGCTCTTGAACACTCATTTCTGACCTGGTCCAAGCCCTCCCTGCTCCAGCTTGAGGTTTTCCGCTCACTGGGTTTTCATGTGCATTGATTTTATAAGCTTGGCTAATAGCACTGACTAAGGGTGAGGGTGGCCTGAACCACGCAGACTCGTCAGATAGGCTGTGAGAGTCCTTTCAGCATGCCAGTGAGGGACACGGAACAGCCAGCACCTGTGTGAGGGAGACACAAACTGGAAACCCACACCACCCTCCCTGGTGCCCTATGGGTTGGTCCCCACAGCTGCCAGTCTGCAAATCCAGGGCATGAAACCAGCCCTCCAGAGGTACTTCTGACACCCATCATCAAGTACCTAGAGTCATCCTGAAGTTGCTGACTGAAAAAAAAAAAAAAACACTCCATGATCTGAGTTTCAAAAGATCATGATTCTTATTTAATAAAGAGAAAATGAGGTTTAAAAAAGTTATTCTGAGGGCCGGCCCGGTGGCGCACATGACGGCCTCCGTGCCCCTGATCATCTTTGGGTGTAGACAACCATCCTTTCAGACGTTGCAGAGACTGCAGACTGAGAAGCCAGCCTTGGAGTGGAAGCTTAAGAGAGACGTCCTGGGGGTGAAATTGGGCAATTTGCAGCAACACTGGGAGGCGAGGAAGGGATCAGGTGGAAGTCCCACCAGAGAAATGTGGGCATGAGGGGAAAGCATGTGTTACAGAAATAAATACTGTTCAAAAGCTCAACGAGGACTGCCTGCTGTTTGTTGTTTATTTTGTTGCTGTATTATTACTGAGACAATTAATAAAAGCTCGTGTGCATTTAAAAATCCTAAACAATTGGAGAAGAGGACAATTTTGGAAAGATGTGAAATAATTTAACAGAATTAGCTGTAATTGATCAAAACCTTTCAGTGCATAATTCTGCACACCTGGTGTCTGATTGCACCTAACAAAACTGCAGGGCTCAGCACTCCAGAGAAAAGTGCTGGGCAGGGCGTTAGGTGCAGGTCTGCAAGCCCAAGCTCACTGTGTCCCCTCCATCTCTGGAGCATCTGGTCACATGATAAATCCCCTATGACCCCCGGCCCTGGTGTCAGGGTGTGCACATGGGGACTCTCCCTGTTTCCTGGAGGCTCCCCTCCCCCTGCCGCCTCTGTCCTTGTGCTGTGCTCACCCACTCTCCCTCACATCTTCTCATCCTCTCCATGGGGACCCTCAGGGTCTGTCTTCACAGCTGGATCTCACTGGCAGGGTGGACCCTGATGTGTTATCAGAGGTCGAATATTTTAACACTTCTTTATTTATCCAAGCATCCTTGTTTATCTTTTTTCATGGCCCGTTCTGTTTCATAGGGAACAGTCTGGTTTCCGTGTTTTATTTTTAAGTGATAATCTTAGGAATTGATTTTTAAGCAGTCAGCTTTTTTGTTTCATTCAGTTCCTATGTTCCTTTACCTAGTCAAATTTTTTTAGCTGTCAGAGATGTAATTGAGATCAGCAGTCTTAGATCGAAAAAGTCTTAAAAATGTTTTTCTTCTTTGGAACTGTGCATTCTAGATGTGAAGAGAACGAATTTGTGAGCTCATTGTAGATATCAAGCTCTCCCACCTCTTCCTGGAACAGCTGCTGGGACCTGTGAACAAAAAGAGCTCCCAGTATTTCCTGAGGTTGAGAAGAAGATTGCAACAAAACCTTGAACCTTATGCTACTCTGTAAATGGGGGAGCAACAGAACATATTGGGAGAATGAACAAAAAGTCTCCATGTTGCACTAGTCTTTGATCTTGTATGAGAGCACATTCCAGTTGGTCTGGTCTGTCACGGCCTTCTGTTCCTTCTCTGGGGCCGATGGTAATGGGCATCTTTCTTCCCAGAGGATGTTTCAGCTTCAAAGTGTGATGTCCATTTGCTATGAGAAGGGATTATTTTCTCTAAGCAGGTTTTTTTTTTGGTGATTAAATATTGACAGAATATGTGTGGGAAATGCTTAAAATCTGCATTTCATCTTCAGTATAGTACATCTTTAAGTAACACCCTGCTCTGTTTTTTCCAGGGGTGAGCCCCTCCAGACTCCGAATAGGCGATCAAGAGTTTGATTCATTGCCTGCTTTACTGGAATTCTACAAAATACACTATTTGGACACTACAACGTTGATAGAACCAGTTTCCAGATCCAGGCAGGGTAGTGGAGTGATTCTCAGGCAGGAGGAAGCAGAGTATGTGCGAGCCCTCTTTGACTTTAATGGGAATGATGAAGAAGATCTTCCCTTTAAGAAAGGAGACATCCTGAGAATCCGGGATAAGCCTGAAGAGCAGTGGTGGAATGCAGAGGACAGCGAAGGCAAGAGAGGGATGATTCCAGTCCCTTACGTCGAGAAGTATAGACCTGCCTCCGCCTCAGTATCGGCTCTGATTGGAGGTAACCAGGAGGGTTCCCACCCACAGCCACTGGGTGGGCCGGAGCCTGGGCCCTATGCCCAACCCAGCGTCAACACTCCGCTCCCTAACCTCCAGAATGGGCCCATTTATGCCAGGGTTATCCAGAAGCGAGTCCCTAATGCCTACGACAAGACAGCCTTGGCTTTGGAGGTACATAATGTGCAAAATGTAGAAAGAAGAGATCTGCTACAGGTCTCCCTTTCAGACCTCTTACAGCTTTGTAGGAATGCTCAATACAAGCACCAGCATTGTGATGTTGTTGTAGATGTCGAACCATTAAGTACTGATTTTGGCATTTAATGTTGGGTTTTCTCTTTATAGAAAACCTATTTTGGAATGAGTAAGCTTAAAATTGTGTAACTAAATGTTCTGATTGATCTACTAAACATACTTTGACTACTTTAATAACACCACCTGAATTCACAGGAATTAACCTAAAATATTTTTTCTCCTCTATATCCTAACCTGTTTCTCGCTTTCTGTTTGTCATTATCTAAAAGAAGATGGGTTCACACAGATTTGAGTGTAATAAGTGGTTTCTGTCAAAGTGCTTAAGTGGAATTTTTCCCATAAAAACATAGCATTTTTACTTTAGGGGACCATGATGTTCCTTACCATTAATTGTGTTTGTCATATAAGAATTTAGGAGGCAACAGTGAAGCATAGTACAGGTGTGAAGAGATCCATACTCAGAAGTATTAATTCCAAAGAGCAGCAAATTTACTTGGTTTTTGTTTACAGGCAAGAAACCAGTTCTTCCTAAGGAGTTAATTTTTTCCTTGTATTGTTGAATAGTTACCCTTGGTAGCCCATCTCCTTCTGGCCAACCATTACATTGCGTTTCTTCCTTTATTCCTCTCTTTAGCACTCAGCTTTGTCTCTCACTTTCTTCCTCCCTCCCTCCCTTTCTTTCTTCCTTTCTAAGTTATACAGATGGTGGTTTAGCATATAAGCTAGTACAGAAGAATTCCCATCTTTCAGAGCCTACTGATATGGTGACTTGAATGTAAGTGAGTAGCTAACTTTCATAAGCATGGGCTGAAGTTATGTGAGCACAGATCAGCAGAGGAGGGGTGAAAATGTATTCTTGTAAACTGCGATCTTTAAGTTTTGTTTTTGAGTTGTGTTCATACAGTGAGAAGTAGGAGCTGCCCTCTATCTACGTTGGAATGTCAGCCCACAGAATGAGCAAGAATTTATTTGAATCAGTCTCTGATATTACTGGATTTCAAATTTTTCTTTTAGGTTTTTTTTTTTTTTTTGTCTTTTTGTCTTTTTTTGTAACCGGCAACGGGATCACAACCCTCGCTGTTGCCCCCGCTCCTAGCTCAGCCAGTGAGCGGCCGGTCTGTATGTGGGATCCGAACCCTCGGCGGGAGCGCCGCCGCACTTCCCAAGCAGCGCACTGTAGCAGTGCGCCACCGGGACAGCCCCTAGACATGGAAAATATTAAACACACATACACAAATCAAATTTCTAGAGAGGAAACTACAATGTTTGAAATAAAAAATATACTGGATGAGATTAACAGCATATAAAACACTCCAGTGGATAAGATCAGTGAACTTGAAAATAATAATAGTAATTATCCAAAATGAAACCAGCAGAAGAAAAAAAGAATGAAAAACAATACCTTATTATCAGTGACTTGCAGATAGAGTTCAAAGCAGCCTATGTATGTATTGGTGACATCAAAGGAAAAGTGAGGGCAAGTGGCTAAGATAGAAAAGAGCTGAAGAAATAAGAGCTGAAAATTACCCAAATTTAATGTGAACTGTAAGCTCACAGATCTAAGAAGCTCAGCAAACCCCAGTCATAAGAAACATGAAGAATATTACACCAAGACACTTTATCATCAAATTTCATAAAGCCAATAATAATCTAGTATTTTATGCCTACTGAATTTTTTCTTAAAGATAGGCGAATGAAGATATTTGAGAATAAACTCTTTTCATCTGAAAAAGTTCATCACCAGCAGACCTGCATCAACAAAATTATTAAATGAACTTCTCCAAAAAGGAGGCAGATGACACTCACTGAAAATCAAGGGCTGGCCAGTTAGCTCAATTAGTGGCATGGCCTTATAATACCAAGGTCAAGGGTTTGGATCCTTGTACCAGTCAGCCACCTCCCTTCACCACCTTCCCACAAAAAATCAAGATGTATACAAAGGAAGGGAAAGCACCAGAACAGGTAGCAATGTGGGTAAACATAAAATGTGTTGCTTATTAATTCAATGTTTTGAGGACATTTGTACATATTTTGAACAAAATCGGTAACAATGGGTGCTGTGGTTTGTAACAGAAGGAAAAGTAAAATGTATGACAAAAATAGCACAAATAATGGAAATAGAGAAATAGAAGTATATTGTCACAGGTTTCTTAAACTATACATGAAGTAATAGAATTTCAATTAAATTAGACAGACAAATTAAAGAAGAAAACAGGGAGACTACAAACACTAAAGCAGGGTCTAAAGTATACACACAAACACATACACACAAAGTTAGAGCTAATAAAGCAAGAAAGATTGTAAGAGGAATAATAAAAATTAATCCAAAATAAGGTATAAAATGACAAAGCACAATATAATAGATTAAACACAATCATGTCAATAATCATGTTAACATAAATGATTTAAATATACCAATTAAAACATATACATTTTAGGGTTGGATTTTAAAAAGCAAAACCCAAATACAAGGTGTTTACTAAAAGACTTCATTTTAGAAATAAAGTCACAAATATGTTAAAATAAAAAAGAAAAAATATATACCAAATTAACAGCAATCAAAAGATTGCTGGAGTGGCTCAATTAATATTAAAGTACATTTTAAGGCAAAGAATATTACCAGGAATTGAAGGAATCATTTCATAATGATAAAGGAGTCAATTCGTTGAGGACATAGCAATCCTAATCATGTATGCAACTAATAATAGAACTTAAAAGTACATGAGCAAAATTGATAGAACTGCAAAGAGACAGATGAATCTATTATTATACTTAAATGTTTCAACACCCCTCTCTCAACAATTAGTAGAACAATGTTATCAAATTATGTCCCAATGTTATAAAATATCAGCAAGGCTACAGAAAACTTGAAAAGCAGTATCTACCAAATTTATCTAATCACGATTTATAAAATCCTTCATCCTGCAATATCAGGGTACACATTCTTTTTAGGTGCATACCAAGCCTTTACCAGAGTAGACCATTTTCTGGGCCAAAAAGGAAACATATCAATAAACTTAGAAAAATATCAAATCACACAAGGTATATTCTCTGAGCACAACGGAATTAATAAGAAATCAATAACAGAAAGACATGGAAAATTCGCAACTACTTGGAAACTAACATACTTCTCAACAACCTACTTTGCATACCAAGTGTTGGCAAGGATGAGGAGCAATTGGAACTCTCGTACATTTCTGGTGTGGATAAAAAATGGCTCAACCACAAAACAGAATGGCAGTTTCTGAAAATGTAAAGGTATACGTACCATATAACTCAGACACTACACACATATGTATTTTCTCAAGAACAATGAAAGTATATGTCCATACAAAAATTTGTACATGAATGTTCAAAACAGATTTATTTATTTTAGCACAAAAATGGAAACGACCCAAATGATCATGAGCAGGTGAATGGATAAATAAATTATAGTATATCCATACAATCAAATAGTATTCAGTAGTTTAAAAATGAATTATTGATAATGAATTATTTATCCATAAAAATATGGATAAATATCAACATAATTTTTGATTGAAAGAAACCAGAAAAAAGATTATATACTATATTATTCCATTTGTATAAAAATACAAACTAATCAAAAGTGTTAGAAATACGATCCATGGTTGCCTGGAGACAGAGGTGATGGGCGGACCAAGGAGAAGGAGAAAGGAATTACAACTGAGGATTTCAAAAAACAAATCTTTTGGGCAACGAACAAGTTCATTGTTATGATTGTGTTGATGTTTCATGGTGTACACATACGACAAAACATGTTAAAATGTCCACTTTAAATATTATTTATTTAAATAAATAAATGTAGTTTATTGTATGTCTATTCTAACTTAATAAAACTGTTTTTAAAAACACATAAAAAAACACAAAACCAACCAACAGTGTTCAGGGATAAACCGTTCAATAGCAAAACTTAACAAAAAGAAGTAAGGATGCTTGGCTCATCCTAATTCATTAGGCTACAGCTCTATCCTTAATAAAACTGTTTTTAAAAACACATAAAAAACACAAAACCAACCAACAGTGTTCAGGGATAAACCGTTAAATAGCGAAACTTAACAAAAAGAAGTAAGGATGCTTGGCTCATCCTAATTCATTAGGCTACAGCTCTATTTCATGTAATCTTTAATATTTATGTTATATTTCACAAATAGAAGGTTTAAAATCTAAAAAAGAAAAGAAAACCATGTTACATTCAATCTTGCAATTCACTGTTTCCAAACAAGAACATATGGTTAGGAGGTAAAAACTTGATGTTTTAAAAATGTCATATCCAGCTTCGTGATTTGAACCTTTGTGCTTTATGATCATTCAGTAAACAAGTAAATCTATAATGTTTTTATAAAATATACTACCTATCTTTTTAATAAAGAAATGCACAAAAAATGCACAGAAGTAAACAAAACACACACACATATACAACAAGTAATATTTCTAGAAATAAGAGGAAGGATTGAATTTCAGCCCTCGAACAAGTGAAGGGCTTAATAGACATGCATGTTGGTAAGAGGTGATCTCTCCTGGCACAGGTCACTCGATTGTGGGTTCAAACAATTTCTAGTGATGGTTTTTGCTGGTGATCAATAGCTAGGAGTATATCTGATGGCAGGTAGGAAATGCAGGGGTACAACTGGATTACCGTAACCACAGACACAGTCACTTCAACCTCAGCAATCTGTGCCCTTAGGAAAATGACCAAAGAAAAAAAGTAAAGGTCATAAATGAAAATGATTTGCAAGAGTAAAGTACGAACACTATCACATGAAACAGAAGTAAATTCAATTTTCAACATGGCTATGGGAAAGAAATATACATTACTTCTCAAAAGACTGGAGAATACCATGAAAAGGACAAGAAGAAATTCTTGCAAAGAATTCCAGCCACAAGAAACCATCCATAAAACCCAGGGGCTTGTCTCACCAGTTCCCACCCTCCAGGAAAATGTGTCCACGTCCTGTGACAAATGAATTACTAAGCACATTATGGGAAGAGTAACTGAAAAGAAAAATGTGTTCTTCAGCAG